CTCTCTCTCTCTCTCTCTCTCTCTCTCTCTCTCTCTCTCTCTCTCTCTCTCTCGCTCTTGTTGCGACACGGACGTGTGTGTGCGGACGTACTAAATAAGGGTGGTCGATCGATGCAAGGAATGAATGACTGCATATGTGAATGACGTTCATACAAGTAAAATATTAGAGAAATAATGTAAACATGCCTTGCATGCATCAGCTCTCACAAAACGTTTGACCATGCACTCACAATACTTCCCCCGTCCGTCCGCGTGAATGTCCTCTTCCTCATCGTCTGTGGTGTGCAGTACAAATGACAACAACGGATACAAGATTGTGCAAAAGAGGATGGACAATACATCTCGCAACATTGTCTTTATCGGAGAGGGAGATGGCAACACTTGCGCATATCATTCGCGAATATGGGAATAGGTATCCCGTTGCCAACACAGAAGATGCGCACAATAACGAAGTGTTGCAACTCACTCGCAGCGATTTCCTTTTACTCGTCGTCGAACAACAGTGGTTAAACGACAACGTGATTAACTTTTATCTCAACCTCGTAGCATTAGGCAACTGTTGTAGAATACAGCACGTAGAATGCGACGCGGTGAATGAGATAGTCATTAGAGAAGGAAAAGGTCGCATTCCCAGAGTATCAGTGCTGAGCTCGTTTTTTTTTGTCAAACTTTTCGATAATGACATGAGATATAGAGCCCGAGAGGTAGAACGCTGGTACCAGGATGTAATTACAAGTGACATGGATTTGATTATTGCTCCTTTCCATATCGCATACCAGGACCACTGGACCTTGGTCGTGGCTGACAAGGAGGAGGAAATTCGAATTTTACGACCCCCTCGACCCCGACAAGGAGTTCGCGTTAAAAGTGACCGGCGGGTTTGTAAAGTTTTTATTCGAAAGATCGAAATCGCAAAGCAAAGAGGTGGACACGAGACCATTCAATCACATATGGAATGTAGAGGGCATTCCAAAGCAACATGACACGAACGAATGTGGGGTCTTTGTACTCACGTACGCGTCACTTTTGGCACGGGGCCAACTTCCACCTTTCTGTTTCACCGCAGATGACATACCCGCGATACGTCGTCGGATGGCATTGGACACAGTGACTCGTGAGTAGTATGTACGTGATATTCTATAGTATGATTGCGAAGGGGGCGGACGTGGCTGGCACGAGATGACGCTTGACAAAAAACAATGTATATAAGGTGTCAATTATTCCTCGGTACACTGTGTCACTTGCCCCTTGCATGATACCTTACACCTTATACCTTACCCCATACACCTTACACCTTACCCCCCTACACCTTACACCTTACCCCTTACACCTTACCCCTTACACCTTACCCCTTATACCTTACCCCTTACCCCTCACACCAAAACGCCCATTTGTAATGGTTTTTGCACTTCAATCATCTCAAAAATGTCAATTTCAATTTCGTTCAAAAAATATAAAATGTCCGTTTTGACGAAATCGTTGTTCGTAGTTGTAGTCCAGCACGGTCGTCACCGTAGGTCCTTCTCTTAACATCTGCTCCCACTTGCAGAGAAATTGAAGGCATCTTGGTCTGTAGCCATACAACCCACTGCTGCACACCATGGTTGAACCTCCCTAGGCTAGACAACACACAGTACCAGGGCGCATAGTTCCAAAATAACCACACTCTAACACTTAGAGCACTAGCACGTGCATACAGACGAACTACCGCACACTCCCTTCGCCACTTAGCTCTCGCGCCTCAGCTCACTAGCACACGACTCAACAAGGCCGCCTATGCATTCGCAGCCAAGGACTCGCCCCCCTCCCTTTTTATAGAGTCGCTTCCACACCGCGATCCCTGTATTCTGAACGAGGGGTTCAAATAATTTTCAGAGCTCTAAATTTTAATATTCTACAATTTTTAAGTCAATAAAATAAAGTAAGAGTAAACAGAGAAGGGATGGTGCAAACCAAAACACCAACGGTCGCAGCGTCGGTTTCAGCTGTCAGCCACTTGCTACCTCGCCTCCGACGTGAAGCGACCACAGGCTCGGCGCAGTGGTCCCATAACGGGATGCCTACTGGTGTTTCTCTCCCTTTAAAGCTTACCACTGGCCTACCACAAAAAGGTACCCGCGTCCGATGGCAAGGAGGGGGCTTATGACCCTCTACGGGGGGTGATAAGCCTCCTACCAAAGCGACCGCGGGTTGCCCCTCTTTTGGGGTTCTACCAGCGAGGCGCTCATCTGGAAGATCAGACACAGGCGACAAGTGAAAGGTCGGCCAGTTCGGTCCACTCATACCAGAGTCAGAAACTCGAACCGTTGGCCTCCGACGTGAAGAGACAAAATAAAGAGTTAGATAAAAGGAAATCGAAGATAATTTTTAATAACAGCTGCAATAATACCGATAACAATAGGTTGTCAATAACAATAAAACTAAGAAAAGGAAGGAAAGTTTCAATGCCACTGCTGCCATACGTTGTCGGGTCATCATGAACTAAGGTGAGAGTCCAAATCAGCTAATAAATCCGACGCACGACTTCCATTTCTTTTACTTTTCCATTTTACTTAGCCTTCTTCTATCTGACAATGATTGCAGAGACCCATGCATCTAACCCATAACCTGGCAGAGGGGCACTCGGCGCACAGTAGAAAAGACCACCCTCGTCCCTCTGCCTTCGCATCCCTGGGCGAACCCGACGGCTACCACGGCCTCAGGCCGGTAGTGCTCTGCTGTAAAGAAGGGCGCCAAACCTGCGTGGACCAAAGGAAAGCCCAGGGCGCCAACTCTATCGGTCCATAATAGGGTACTATTCGGGCATTCAAGGAATGTCGCGTAGGCTCGGAAGCAACCTGATGAGTAGTGGGCACCCGACCAAGGAACGAGTACTGAGTAGGAGCCTGGCACACAGAGGAGCGTCGGGACACCACGCCCTCCGACAGCGCTAGCGCATGCGCGAATGTATATTTCAATGTTCTAGCGGAACATTCAATCGATTTTGCTCATCATATCGATGAACGTTGTGTGAGGGCAGCCGCCGGGTTCGAGACTTACCTATTGGCCGGTGCCTTGCTCATCCTATCAAAGGAAAACTGTCTCTCTCTCTCTCTCACACACACACACACACACACACACACACACACATACACACACACACATACACTTCCTCATTAGCTAGCAGCTAATACAATTGATAAAACAACACTAGTACTGGCGCCGATACTAACTAGCCGATCACTCTAGAACACTTTTTTGAAACCTGCACAACCAACATGACCCTGCATAAAATACCCACACGGGTAAGTAGCTTCAATAACCAAAATGGGCCATAAACCGGTAACCACAGACGAACAACACCACAAAAACAACCACCGGCAAAATAATAATAATACTAATAAATATTAATAAACAATAAATAATAAATAAATGATAAATAATTAAAAAATAAAAATAAAAATTAAAATTAAAATTAAAATTAAAAATTAAAAATTAAAAATTAAAAACAAAAAATAAAAATAAAATAAAAATAAAATAAAATAAATAATTAAAAATTAAAAAAAAAAAACAACCCCGACACTTGGCCACCAACCCAAAGCAAACCCAAAACACTCCAATTTTTTCAAAAAAATCCCCCCGTCCCCGAAAAAAGCAGAACTATGAAAAACAAAAAAGTCCAGACTATTAAAACGGCACTGACGATCAGGCACTTGTTGTCATCACTCCCCGAACACATATACCCCCCGGGAAAAACGCCACTGACTCCACTAACATACACTCATCCACCCACAACCAGACAAATACCGCACATGCCAACATCTTCTATGCGTACGATCTGCACGCTGAGGACGTGCACTTATTGCACACGGTCTGAACTCCCGCCAATCATTCTGCCTCTCTGAATCCAGCACGTGTATTCTGATACATCCTTATACCCCTTCTCCTGTACCTCAATAAGTACGTTACGACGCTGAAACCCAAATGACCCGGAAGAAATCGCCCATCCCCCCAGTATACCACCCTCACCATACTAGACCTCACAGGCATATTCGACCCCCCGACACACCAAAAGCTTCCCTGATCATCTCTCTCTCTCTCTCTCTCTCTCTCTCTCTCTCTCTCTCTCTCTCTCTCTCTCTCTCTC